AACTACATGGACAAATACAATGACAACCAAATTGACAAGGCTAGAATTATGAATTTTTATAAAAATTAATATTTCCATAGATTTAAATATGAATTCAGCTTTAATTTTAAATAATTTAAAAATAATTTAATATTTATTAAAAATATTTAATAATTATTTTTAAATTATTTAAAATATTTAATAATTAAAAATAAATAAGTATAATTTAATAAGTATAAATAAATAATTTATACTTAAGTATAAATCAAGATCAGAAGTGGACTGGGCACGGCGGCTCACACCTGTAATCCAAGCACTTTGGGAGGCTGAGGTGGGCAGATCACTCGAGGTCAGGAGTTTGAGACCAAACTGGACAACATGGTGAAACCCCATCTCTACTAATAATACAAAAACAATTAGCTGGGCATGGTGGCGCATGCCTATAGTCCCAGCTACTCGGGAGACCAAGGCAGGAAATTTGCTTGAACTCGGGTGGCAGAGGTTGGAGTGAGCCAAGACTGCACACTGCACTCCATCCTTGGCAACAGAGTGAAACTGTCTCAAAAAAAAAAAAAAAGAAAACAAAAAGAAAATACAGATGTGAAGCTCAGAGAACAAAAAGCCTGAAAGAAGAGAAAATAGAAGTCTGCCTAAATTTCTAAAAACTGGAAACAATGAAAGTGAACCGAAGTCTGCTGAGCATGACTCACATAAAATTTGCATACAGGACATTTACAAATTCCTTACCTAATAAGATTTAATTACTAATCATATGAAAATGAACAAAAAATATCTTCAAACCCATAATTTGAAAAGATCAGATGAAATCCCTACAACTTCATATTCGTCATTAAAAGAACACTGAATTATTGATCAAAGCAAGAACAAGAAAAGAATTATTTGTAACAAATGTATAACTCAAAAAGCCAAATGCAACTCCAGCATGTCCATTAGTATGAGAAGAAAATTGCATTTATAAAAGCTGCAATTCAATGTGAAAATCAAAAATCTTGGCCGGGCGCGGTGGCTCAAGCCTGTAATCCCAGCACTTTGGGAGGCCGAGATGGGTGGATCACGAGGTCAAGAGATCGAGACCATCCTGGTCAACATGGTGAAACCCCGTCTCTACTAAAAATACACAAAATTAGCTGGGCATGGTGGCGCATGCCTGTAATCCCAGCTACTCAGGAGGCTGAGGCAGGAGAATTGCCTGAACCCAGGAGGCAGAGGTTGCGGTGAGCCGAGATCGCGCCATTGCACTCCAGCCTGGGTAACAAGAGCAAAACTCCGTCTCAAAAAAAAAATAAATAAATAAAAAAATAAAAAAATAAAAATAAATAAAAAAAAAAAAGAAAATCAAAAATCTCTGGGGCTTTATTATGCTTTTGTTTTTTAGGATTATCATCCTAAAAAATGGCAATCACATCCTTCTAATAGCATAAAGATGTTTCTAGCAAAATGCAATTCAATTCAAATTAATGGACCAGGCATGGTGGCTCACACCTGTAATTTTAGTACTTTGGGAGGTGAAGGCAGGTGGATCACCTGAGGTCAGGAGTTTGAGACCAGCCTGGGCGTCTCTACTAAAAATACAAAAGTTAGCCAGGCGAGGTGGCACATACCTGTAATCCCAGCTACTTGGGAGGCTGAGGCAGGAGAATCACTTGAACCCGGGAGGCAGAGGTTGCAGTGAGCTGAGACCATGCCATTGCACTCCAGCCTAGGCAACAGAGTGAGACTCCATCTCAAAAACAAACAACAACAACAACAACAAAAAAAAAAAAACCCACAAATTAATGATTACAACTTTCCATTCCATGAACATGGCAGACAATTGATTATTTAATTTTATACCAAAACTATTTTAGCTGGAGAAAGGAATTGCAGAAATCGCTGTTACGTGTTTTTTATATATCCTAAGTACAAAGTATTTTGTTACTATTATGATAAGAGTTTTACAACCAATTCTGGGCTACAGCGAAATACCCTCTCTCAATAAACAAATAAAGGCAATTTTGCAAAAAAAAAAAAAAAAGCATTTAAAAAATCAAGCATAGGCCTGGCAGCACTTTTGGAGGCCGAGGCAGGCAGATCACTTGAGGTCAGGAGTTCAAGACCAACCTAGACAACATGGCAAGACCCCGTCTCTACTAAAAATACAAAAATTAGCCGGGTGTGGTGGTGCATGCCTGTAATTCCAGCAACTTGGGAGGCTGAGGCAGGAGAATTGCTTGAACTCAGGAGGCGGAGGTTGCAGTGAGCCAAGATCATGCCACTGCGTTCCAGCCTGGGCAACAGACTAAGACTCCATCTCAAAAAACAAAACAAAACAAGAAAATACTGATAGTTTAGATTACTTCATGTTTTAAACCACTGTTTATTTCATTATTACAGATTCTTAAAAGCAGCTGTAGGTCAGATGTGGTGGTTCATGCTTATAATCCCAGCACTTTGGGAGGTGGGAGAATTGCTTGGACCTAGGAGTTCAAGATTAGCCTGGGAAACATAGTGAGACTTCGTCTCTACCAAATAAATAAATTAAATGAAATGAAAATAAAAATTAGCTGGGCACGATGGCACATGCCCAGTCCCAGCTACTTGGCAGGCTGAGGTGGGAGGATCATTTGAGCCCACAAAGTCAAGGTTACAGTATGCTGTAATCATGCCACTGCACTCTAGCCTGGGTGACCAAGTGAGACCTGTCAAGAAAGAAAGAAGAGAGGAAAGGAAAGGAGAGGAAAGGAAGGAAGGGAGGTGGCAAGTTGTGTCCACATCTAGGGATAGATCCAACGAAGCTTAGAGTCTGTGTCAGGATTTTCCTGAGAGCAGCACTTTTCATCCAAGACAGATCAGGAAAGTGAAAAACCGAAAACCAGACAAAAAGCAAAAACCAGTCAAACAAAAAACATAATAGAATGACTGAACACTTCCAAGAGAGGCTGGTACTTTTTCCACCTCAGGGCATCTGGTCAGTGCAGTTTGCTAAGTCTTCTGTTTCCAGAAGTACTCGCTGTTACTCTTTCTTTTATAATGACATGTTCTCTTATTATTATATAAACAGTGGCTACCTACAAACTATAACTGCAGTGAATGAGCAAAGTAAAATATAGTAAGAAAAAAAATCACCTGTAATTCTACCCATACTCATGTTAAACTTTGGTGTATCCTTCCAGTCCTGTGTGTACGTGTTTTACTAAAAATGAGATCATACTGAAATGATTTTTTCAGAAAACAGTGAGAAGAGACTTCCCTTTCATAGTCGATGGGAAACAAGTGTGAAGCTGCCGAAGGCCATTTTTGTTATGACTTGGGGAGACATCCACTGAGAACAAAGGCCCAAACAAAGGACAGATGGATGATTGATGACGTATTTCAGTACCTGGATCCAACGGTGTCTGAAGCCAACAACCCCTAGACTTAGGTAAGGCAGTAAATAAATTCCCTTTTCTGCTTAGGCCGGTTTTAATTTAATTTTTGCCATCTGCAACTGAAAGAGACCTATAGCATTCACCAGGCTCATCACAGATATTCTCTTTCTTTTTCCGAACATGCAGTTGGCGTGTACTTCCGTGCTCTCTTTGAAGTGAGGTATGGCCATGAGACTTGCTTTGACCAATGACATGAGAGCTGATATGTGAGGAGTCAGCGCATCCATGACCAGCCACTTGCCTCTCTCCATCCGTTTTTAAATTCTTTTTCTTTCTTTCTTTTTTTTTTTTTAATTGAGATGGAGTTTCACTCTTGTTGCCCAGGTTGGAGTGCAATGGTGTGATCTCAGCTCACTGAGGTTCAAGTGATTCTCCTGCCTCAGCCTCCCGAGTAGCTGGGATTACAGGCGCTCACCAACACACCCGGCTAATTTTGTATTTTTTAGCAGAGATGGAGTTTCTCCATGTTGGTCAGGCTTGTTTCGAACTCCTGACCCCAGGTGATCCACCTGCGTCAACCTCCCAAAGAGCTGGGATTACAGGCATGAGGCACTGCACCCGGTCTCCAACCCTTTTTTCCTCTCTGTCATAGCAACCAGCAATATTCCAGATAGTATCTTTTCCATCGTCTGGGTCCCAGAGTGAGGATAAGGTGGAATAAAGCCTCCAGCTGACCTGCCATGGACATATATCATAAGCAGTAAATAAATGCACAAGTAAGAAACAAACTCCCATTTTTCAAGTTACTAAGGCTTCTTTGGACTTTTCTGTTAGTACAGCAAAACATAGCCCATCCTGATCAATAATGTTAATAATACTGATGAGTTTAGAGAGGAAAGGGATTCTTGCTTTCTTAATCTGTGTATCTTTTTTTTTTAAGGCAGGGTCTCATGTTGTTGCCCAGGGTGCAGTGCAGTGGCACGAACACAGCTCACTGCAGCCTCAACCTCTTAGGCTCAAGAGATCCTCTCACCTCAACTTCCTGAGTAGCGGGGACCACAAGCACACTCCACCATGCCTGTCTAATTTTTCATATATTTTGTAGAATGGGGTTTCACCATGTTGCCAGGCTGATCTCAGACTTCTGAACTCAAGCCATCCACCCGCCTCAGCCTCCCAAAGTCCTGGGATCACAGGCATGCACCACCATGCTTGTCCTCTGTGTATCATTTAAAAAATCAGCAGCAGCCGGGTGCAGAGACTGAGGCAGTGGCTTACACCTGTAATCCCTTTGGGAGGCTGTGGTAGATCACCTGAGGTCGGGATTTCGAGATCAGCCTGGCCAAGATGGTGAAACTCATCTCTACTAAAAACACAAAAATGAGTTGGGTGTGGTGGCAGGTGTCTGTAATCCCAGCTAGTGGAGAGGCTGAGGCCGGAGAATCGCTTGAACCTGGGAGGCAGGGGTTGCGGTCACACCACTGCACTCCAGCCTGGGCGACAAGAGCGTAACTCTGTCTCAAAAAAAAAAAAAAAAAAATCAGCAGCATGCATAACTATGTGAATGTACTTAATGCTGCTGAACTGTACACCTAAACATGGTTAAAAAAGTAATTTTTATGTTATCTATAGTTTACACAAATAAAACAATTATACCAGCAGTCAATCAGATACTTATTAGGGCCCTAGGGCTAATCCCATGTAAATGGTTCTGATAGCCAATAACTGTTCTTTCTTGCAATCATTGACCAAAACTTCATTGAGCACCTATTATGTGCCCATCACTATGCTAGGCACTAGGGGTAAAGAGGCTATACTTTTGACCTTAAAAAGCTTCCTGCAAACAAAAGAACATTCATCATAGCTGTTTGCCATCCTGGGACCCTGTTAAAGAAAAAAGAGTAGATGCTTTTGTAGTTCACGAGCACGATGATTGGGTGTTCATGCTTATGTGTGAGATGTGCCACCCTCGAACCTTGTTACAAGGACAGCACATTACCCATCTGGCATGAGAAGAAAAAGGAAAAAACAGTAGGCCCCAAACAAGGCCAAATTCCATGTTTCCAAACCAAAACCAAAGTTGTTTACTTGTAAGATCTGATCTTCAAGAAATCAAGAGAGAGATGATAACCAAATCCCATTGAGCCAACAAGATTTCACTTATATTCTTACGAGGAAAGTAATCTTGAAATGATCAATCCACCATTTGTTCATTGTTCCTGCTTTCCTCTGTCTCTTTCCGCCTATAAAACATACCCATTCTGTCCAGTTCATTGGAACTCCTTTCTATTTTGTAGATTGGATGCGGCGTGGTTCATGAATTGCTAATAAAAGTGAATCAGATTTTTGAAACTGAATTCATTGATTCTTTGTTCTTTGATGACCATCCCATCCCCAATTTCAGGTTCTTTTTCTTTCTTTGTCTATAGATCTATCTATAGTTATCATTAAGCAGCAATGGCTAAAAGCAATTATAGCCATTTGAGAAGCACTTTCTTTCTCTAGTCTTTTTGCCTTGCTCCTCACTAGCACAGTATTTAAGAGGACAGATTCTGGAGTCCAACAAGCCAGACTCAGATCCTAGCTCTATCACACACTAGATCTGTGACCGGAGCCAGTTAGTTAATTTCTGTGTGCCTCCATTTTCTTGTCTCTAGAATGGGGACACAAATAGTACCTGCTTTTTACGATTGTTGTGAAGATTGAATGAGGTATTTCACATAAACACTTAGCCCAATGCCTGGTACAGAGTAAGTGCTGAATAAACATCAGCTATCATTTATTAGTGCCTTATTAGAGCTTTCTTGTTCTAAGCTTCAGTTTACCCTGTGATGCTGGCATTTCTGGCCCACCAGTGTAAGTTGTAGTCAAGAAGTCTGTATCGGCCGGGCGCAGTGGCTCAAGCCTGTAATCCCAGCACTGTGGGAGGCCGAGGCGGGTGGATCACAAGGTCAAGAGATCGAGACCATCCCGGTCAACATGGTGAAACCCCGTCTCTACTAAAAATACAAAAAATTAGCTGGGCATGGTGGCACATGCCTGTAATCCCAGCTACTCAGGAGGCTGAGGCAGGAGAATTGCCTGAACCCGGGAGGCGGAGGTTGCGGTGAGCCGAGATCGTGCCATTGCACTCCAGCCTGGGTAACAAGAGCGAAACTCCGTCTCAAAAAAAAAAAAAAAAAAAAAAAAAAAAAAAAGAAGTCTGTATCATAAAATAGAACTACGATACAATCCAGCAGTCTCACTTCTGTGTGTACAGTCATCCCTGCTATCTGTGGGGATTGGCTCTGGGACCTTCCATTGATACCAAAATCCACAGATGCTCAAGTCCCTAATATAAAATGTTGTAGGCCGGGTGTGGTCGCTCATGCCTGTAATCCAAGCACTTTGGAGGCCAAGGTGGGTGGATCACCTGAGGTCAGGAGTTCAAGACCAGCCTGACCAACATAGTGAAACCCCATCTTTAAAAAGAAAAAAAATAAAAATAAAAATAAGTGTTGTAGTATTTTAGCCAGGCTTGGTAGCGTGCACCTGTAGTCCCAGCTGAGGCTGAGATGTGAGGATTGCTTGAGCCCAGGGGATCAAGGCTGCAGTAAGCCATGATGGTGCCACTGTACTCCAGCTTGGGTAATGGAGTGAGACACTGTCTCAAAAAAAAAAGTTGTAGTATTTGCATATGACCTGTGCACATTCTCCTATATACTTCAAATCATCTCTAGATTACTTATAATGCCGAATACAATGTAAATGCTATGTAAATTGTTTTTGTCACTCAGGCTGGAATGCAGTGGCACAACACGGCTCTCTGCAGCCTCCCTCTCCTAGGCTCAATGCGTCCTTCTGCCTCATCCTCCTGAGTAGCTGAGACTACAGATGTGCACCACTGTGCTGGGCTAAATTTTTTACTTTTTTTTTTTTTTTTTTTTGAGATGGAGTCTCGCTCTGTCACCCAGGGTATGGTTCACCCAGGCTAGAATGCAGTGGCATGATGTTGAATCACTGCAACCTCCACCTCCCAGGTTCAAGCGATACTTCCACCTCAGCCTCCCAAGTAGCTGGGACTACAGGCACGCGCCACCATGCCTAGCTAACATATATATATATATATATATATATTTGCATTTTTTAGTGGAGATGGGGTTTCGACATGTTGGCCAGGCTGGTCTTAAACTCCTGATCTCAGGTGATCCTCCCACCTCAGCCTCCCAAAGTGCTGAGATTACAGGCTTGAACCACCATGCCTGGCTAATTTTTCTACTTTTTTGTAGAAACGGGGCAACCTTATGTTGCCCAGGTTGGTCTTGAACTTCTGGGCTTAAGTGATCCTCCCATCTTGGCCTCCCAAAGTGCTGGGATTATAGGCATAAGCCACTGCCCATGGCCTAAATAGTTGTTATACTCTATTGTTTGTTAGTTTATTTTGAGACAGAGTTTCGCTCTTTTTCCCCAGGCTGGAATGCAGTGGCTCACGGCAACTGTTTAATTTACTTGAAATTTGATAAGGGAACAGAATTTAAATGACCTCACCCCACCGCACACACACAATGGTAACTATAATGATGACAGTTTTTTTTTTTTTTTTTCAGGTATGACACCAGACAGGATCCAAAGAGGAGATTTCCAGTCTCTTCTCTGGGTTTTATGGAGACTTACTTTACCGTTCTCTGTTAGCCTCTTAAAGCACTGGGTCAACCTTAAAAGGGCACAAGAAAGGGCAAATGACAGGTATTTTAATTAATTTGATTGTAATGATCACTATATAATGTATATGTATATCAAATCATGTTGTACAATTGAATATATACAATTTTTATCTGTAAATTAAATTTTTTAATTAAAAAATATTGACTGCTGCAAGCTCAAGAGACTAAAAGGAAAAATAAAATGGATTCTGTGTCTCAGACATCTCCTGGTTCTTCATTTACCTGTAGCTTTACTCACACTTCTTGCCTCTCCCTGCAAGGGACCCGTAGCTGGTTCACAGCCACTGGGGAGCACCCTCGAGTTAGGGCTGATCTGTTCTTCCTCCTGACAGGTGCTTCAGATCCCAGCCAGCAAAGATCACTTTCAGAAACTTTCACTTTCATATCTAGCCAGAAGTGGAAAGTGGGCATGCCCTTCCAAACACTTGGCAGGAAGCTGGTTCCCAACCACAAGAAGCAATAAAACCAAGGCCACTCCTGCAGAAGAAGGCTTCTAACAGCTCAGGATTCAAGCTCTATGGAGGTAACTTCCAGCCACAGTAGCAGTGTTTGTAAGTGTGGCTTTGTCAGTATTTATCAGAGCCCCCCTTCACTCTCATCACATTCCCTGAGGACCTCCTTGCACACCTCACCTTTTGTGGCTGAATCACCCGCCTGCAGAACTAGAAAACAAAGAAGGTGGGCCGAACGCGGCGGCTCACGCCTGTAATCCTAGCACTTTGGGAGGCCAAGGCCGGCAGATCACTTGAGGTGGGGCATTAGTGATCAGCCTGACCAACATGGAGAAACCCTGTCTCTACTAAAAATACAAAAAAAAAAAAAAAATTAGCCAGGTGTGGTGGCGCATGCCTGTAATCCCAGCTACTTGGGAGGCTGAGGCCGGAGAAGCACTTGAGCCTGAGAGGCAGAGGTTGTGGTGAGCTGAGATCATGCCATTGCACTCCAGCCTGGGCAACAAAAGCGAGACTCCATCTCAAAAAATAAAAAAAGAAAAAAGAAAACAAAGAACATGAATTCAGGACAGTTACATGCAAAAATGCTGCTAGGCTGAGCCAAGACAAAGATTGGAGGACACATTTGCAGAGAAATATGACTTTTTTTTTTTTTTTTTTTGAGACAGAGTCTTCCCCTGTTGCCCAGGCTAGAGTGCAGTGGCGCCATCTCAGCTCACTACAGCCTCCACCTCTGTGGTTCAAGCCATTCTCCTACCTCAGCCCTCCAAGTAGCTGGGATTACAGGCATGCGCTACCATACCTGGCTAATCTTTGTATTTTTAGTAGAGACAGGTTTTTGCCATGTTGGCCAGGCTGGTCTCAAACTCCTGACCTCAAGTGATCCACCCGCCTCGGCCTCCCAAACTGCTGGAATTACAGGCATGTACTCCAGCACCCAGCCCTGACAGTGTATTTTTGACTGTCTTTTAAATTTTTTCAGGATTTCCATTTTTTTATTAATCTGTAATGAGAACTTGGAGACATTTGGAGAAAATCTGAATGTAGAATCTTTCTAGATAAGAACAGTATTCTTCTAGTCATTCATAGTCATTTCAACCTAATCCTTATTTCAATGATTTTTTTTTTAGCAATTATCCCTTTTTGAGAAATTCCAAGACATCTAATATGGATCTTTCTTCTTATCTTTAAAAAAAATTAATAGACTTTATCTTTTAGAGCAGTTTCAGGTTTATAGAAACATTGGGCAGAAAGTATGGAGAGTTTCTACACACCTCCTCTTCCCAGGCACACCGTTTCCTCTACTATTAACTCTTGCAATGTTAGTTACTACTTATTAGTGTGCTACATTTGTTACAATTGACAGATCAATATTGATACATTATTACTAACTCAGGTTCATAGTTTATATTAGGGTTTGTTCTTTGTGTTGTATAGTTCTATGAATTTTGACAAATGCCTAATATCATGTACAGTATCAGAATAGTTTCACTGCTCTAAAAGTTCCCTGTGCTCCATCTATTCATCCCTCCTTCCCTTCTAATCCCTGGCAACCGCTGATCGTTTTACTGTCTCTATAGTTTTTCCTTTTCCAGGTTATTGTCAGAGCACTGGTTCATGCCTGTAATCCCAGCACTTTGGGAGACCAAGGCAGGTGGATCACCTGAGGTCAGGAGTTAGGGACCAGCCTGGCCAACATTGGTGAAACCCTGTCTCTACTAAAAACTACCAAAATTAGTTGGGCATGGTGGTGGCACGCACCTATAGTCTCAGCTACTCGGGAGGCCGAGGCATGAGAATCTCTTGAACCCAGGAGGCAGAGGTTGCAGTGAGCCAAAATCACACCATTGTACTCCAGCCTTGGCTACACAGCCAGACTCTGTCTCAAAAAATAATAATAATAAATAGAATATATACAGAGAGTCACACAATATGTATCATTTTTCAGGTTGGCTTCTTACATTTAGCAATATGAATTTAAGTTTCCTCCATGTCTTTTTTGTTTTGTTTTTTGATTTTTGAGATGGGGGTTTTACTGTTTTTCCCAGGCTAGTTACAAACCTCCATGTTTTTTCCTGGCTTGATGGCTCATTCTCCACCCCCCCCATTTTTTTTTATTGTGATAAAATACACACAACATAAAATTTACCATTGTAAACCTTTTGGGGGAGGCGATGGAGTCTTGTTCTGTCACCCAGGTTGGAGTGCAATGGCATGATCTTGGCTCACTGCAACCTCTGCCTCCTGGGTTCAAGCAATTCTCACGCCTTAGCCTCTAGAATAGCTGGAATTACAGGCACACACCATCACACCCAGCTAATTTTTGTATTTTTAGTAGAGACGTTGGCCATGTTGGCCAGGCTGGTCTCAAACTCTTAACCTCAGGTGATCCATTCATCTTGGCCTCCCAGAATGCTGGGATTATAGGCATGAGCCACTATGCCCAGCCCACTGTAACCGTTTTTAGGTGTACAGTTTAGTGATATTAAATACATTCATAATGTTCTGGTGCCATAACCAGTATTCAGCTCAAGAACCCTTTTCATCTTGTAAAACAGAAACTTTATATCCATTAAGTAATAAAATTCTCCTTCCTCCTTGTTTTTTAGAGATGTGGTCTCACTTTGCCCCCCAGGCTACAGCGCAGTGACACAATCATAGCTCACTGTAGCCTCGAACTCCTGGTCTCAAGGGATCCTTCTGCTTTAGCCTTCCAAGTAGCTGGGGTTACAGGTGCGAGCCGCTGCACCAGGCTTGCTTTTCTGACAGGTTCTTGAAGGGACTCCATTAAAGCCTAATGAATCGGAGGCATCCCAGGAGTGAGCTTTCCTTCACCCTTTTGTATAAAGCTTCCCTTTGCTTTGTGAAGATCTGAGTGGCTATTGTTACAAAGAGAATCAGGTTTCACTCTTAGGCAGCGGGTTCAGAAATAGAAAAAACACCAACTTGCTCAGACATGTGTATCAAATGGCAAGATGATCTCACCAAGCACTGTCTTCCTCAGAATTTATTTTGGGTGCAACACACATTAAGGACATAGTGGTAAACCAGGCTTCGAAGCCATCTGTGTGAGCGATTTGCCAGAGGCATGAAAACATCCTATCCCCCATGTCTCTGAAAAGGAGAGATCTTTGCCTCCACCACAGGCACAGGCAAGTAGCCTGCAAATTGCTTCCCACTCAACACAATAGTTCTTGTTGCTATTTTATTTGCGAGCTACGTCACACATGCAGAGGAGTAATGAAAACATATATGTGTAATTCAATTTTCAGTATAAATTGAACACCCATATAACCACCACCAGTCTAAAATAGTATTCAGCCGCCTCCCAGCAGCCCCTATGTGTCCCCCTATTCCATCCCCCTCCCTCCCCCAGAGGTGGCCACTATCCTAACTTATGAAACTATTTTCTTGCTTTTCTCTTTAGTGTTACAACTAAGTTTGTAACACTTAGTTGGTTAGAAGCATCAGTTGGTGAATGTCATATAAATGGAATTAGACCAGGTGTGGAGGTTCACACCTGTAATCTCAGCAATTTGGGAGGCCGAGGCAGGTGAATCACCTAAGGTCAGGAGTTTGAGACCAGCCTGGCCAACGAGGTGAAACCCCGTCTCTATGAAAAATATAAAAAACTAGGCGGGCGTGGTGGCGGGCACCTGTAATCTCAGTTCCTTGGGAGGCTGAGGCGGGAGAATTGCTTCAACTCAGGAGGTGGAGGTTGCAATGAGTCAAGATTGTGCCACTGCACTTCAGCCTGGGCAACAGAGGGAGACCCTGTCTCAAAAAAAAAAAAAAAAAAAAAAAAAAAGGGAATGAAATTGTGACTTGTTTCTTCCTCACAATTGTTCTTGGACAAGGCATGAAAAAGGCCTTTTTGGTGCTTCCTGATGTTTGCCGGGATGGTAGATTCAGGAGTATGCTGTCTTCACAAACATTTCTGGCCTCAAAGACACACTGAGCAGCTTGGGCCTCCTAGCTCAGTCACTTACTAACTGTGTGACCTCTCTTGTTCTCCTTTGTAAAATCAGAATGGATTATTCCTGTAGACATGAGCACCTCAAGAGCAGGAAGTGTTCCTCATTTGCCATTCTGTTCTCAAGAACTCGCAGTGCCTGGTGCCTGATGAATCCTGAGTGAACGCAGGAGACATGGTGAGATCATGTATGTAAGGACTTGATGCCACCCCCGATTTATAACAACTGCTCAATACATGAGAGCCAATCTTATTATTGCCATGGTGTTATTTATTTGAATACGTGCCTGCCTGTGGGAGGCAGCCTCTCAGATGGCCGCCAAGGAGTCTCACCGCCTGGTATTCTTGTATTTGTACATCCCTTGACTGTACACTGGATATATTCACTCACTCCTAAGAAATAGGATGCAGCAGAAGGGATGGAATGTCACTTCCAAAATTATAAAAGACCATGGCTTTTATTTTGGGTCCTGTTTCTCACTGAGGTCTCTTGGATTGCTCACCCTGGAGGAAGCCAGCTGCCATGTCCTGAGGCAGCCCTGCGGGGAGGCTCAAGTGATGAGGGGACTGAGTCCTGTAGACAACCACGAATGTGAGCTTGGGAGTGGATTCTCCATCCAGCTGAGCCTTTGGATGAGGCTGTGGTCTAGGCTCACAGCTTGACTGCAACCTCAGGAAATACCTTCAGCCAGAGGCACCCAGCTAAGCCATGCCTGGATTCCTGACCCACAGAAACTGTGAGATAACAAATGTTTGTTGTTTTCCACAACTACATTTTGTGGCAACTAGTTACATAGTAATACAGTAAAAAAGTACCAGTGCCGTACCTTTTATTTTTTGAGACGGAGTCTCACTCTGTCACCCAGGATGGAGTACAGTGATGCTATCTGGGCTCACTGCAACTTCTGCCTCCCGAGTTCAAGCGATTCTCTTGCCTCTGCCTGCTGAGTAACTGGGACTACATGCGCGTGCCACCACGCCCAGCTAATTTTTTGCATTTTTTAGTAGAGACGGGGTTTCACTGTGTTAGTCAAGATGGTCTCGATCTCCTGACCTCGTGATTCGCTTGCCTCAGTCTCCCAAAGTGCTGGGATTACAGGTATGAGCCACTGCACCCAGCCAACTAATGCAGTGCCCTTTCTTGGGTGAAAAGAGTGCTGGCAATTTTTAAAGCATGTGGCAGACAAGGAGATGCACTGTTCAGATCCCCATTTAAGGGTGGACTCATTGCCTGGCTCCGAGGAGTTCAGTTCATTGACAACCTTCAAGTCCAGCTCAGCTTTCCAGCTCAGATCAAGCTCTTCTTGGGACATTCTCCCTAGCCAATGACTGGACAAGGGGGTGGAACAAGGGCCTAGCCATCTCTGCTCAATGCTGGACCCCTCCAATGAGTAGTTTTTGCTTCAGAGCTTCATGTTTGGCTGGCAAAGACTTTGACAGGTCTCCTTTCATGGATGTTGCTCCCCAATATTTTCCATCCCTACCATAGCTTCTGTTTCCAGAGAATTCATTCTGTAATGAAATACCTACTACACAAAAACTCAAGCTTTCAGCCAGGTGCAGAAGTTCTCACCTGCAATCCCAGCACTTTGGGAGGCCAAGGCGGGAGGATCGCTTGAGCTCAGGAGTTCAAGACTGGCCTGGCCAATATAGTGAGACCCTGTCTCTGACACACACACACACACACACACACACACACACACAGCCAGGCATGGTGGTGCATGTCTATAGTCCTATCGGGAGACTGAGGCAGGAGAATCACCTGAGCCTAGGAGGTCTAGGCTGCAGCGAGCCACGATCGTACCTGTACTCCAGCCTGGGTCACAGAGTGAGAGCCTGCCTCTAACAAACAAACGAATAAAGACTCAAGCTTTGTAGCCAGCCCCGACCTGAGTCCAAATACAGACTGCCTCTTGCTAACTCTGCAACCCTGGGCAAATTACTTAACTTTTCTGAGCCTTGATTTTCTCATGTGTGGAATGGATGACAAATAATGCAAGAGATGAAATGGGATATTTATAGTGTAAAACAGAGTGCCCAGCTTCTGGTAAGTACTAGTTAAAGGAGAACATTTTTTGTTTGTTTTTTGAGACAGTGTCTCCCTCTGTCACCCAGGCTGGAGTGCAGTGGCACAATCTTGGCTCACTGCAACCTCTACCTCCTGGGTTCAAGCGATTCTTGTGCCTCAGCCTCCTAAGTAGCTGAGATTACTGATGTGGGCCACCACGCCCGGCTAATTTTTGTATTTTTAGTAGAGATGGCAGGGGGGTGTCACCAGGTTGGCCAGGCTGGTCTTGAATTCCTGACCTCAAGTGATCCACCCGCCTCGGCCTTCCAAAGTGTTGGGATTACAGGCATGAGCCATGATTCCGGGCCAGGAGAACTGTTATCTATCCACAGACTACACACCAACCAGCCCCTTTACATTTTCCATGAAATGTTACTGGCAATTAGTTCAATACATTGCCTATTAAATCTATAGTAGACCTTTGACATTTGTGAGGATTATACCCTTTACCTTTATGAAAACTCAAACTACCAAATACCACTGTAGTGCATATTGTCACTTATAAAACAAAATAAAGTACAACTCAAAATTACACAATACTCGTGTGTGTGTGTGTGTGTGTGTGTGTGTGTGTGTGTGTGTGTGTGTGTGTTGAGACAGAGTCTCACTCTGTCACTCAGCACCCAGGCTAGAGTACAGTGGCATGATCACAGCTCACTGTGGCCTCGAACTCCTGGGCTCAGACAATTCTCCCACCTCAGCCTCCCAAGTAGCTGGAACCACAGGCAAACATCACCACAGCTGACTAATTTTTATTTTATTTTCATTTTCATAGAGACGGGTCCTCGTTATATTACCCAGGCTGGTCTTGAACTCTTGGGCTCAAGTGATCCTCCTGCCTCAGTGCTAAGTGCTGCGATTACAGGTGTGAGCCACCATGCCCAGCCTTCATTACCCTTTGAGGTCCTTAGCAGTTCTGTAAGTAAGGAGCTAAAGCTGTATAAAGCTATTAAAAATAAGTATGGCTTCAGTCATGCCAAAGCAATCTGGAGGATTGTTTCTCTTGTTGGCACTGAGCCTTATCACATCAGAGGGCTGAGCCACTGCTGAATGCCACCCCTTTAATAAACCCAGACATCTGAAATTTAACAGGTCAAAACCCGTTTCTTCTACAGTCAGTCACCTCGAGAGATAATTCCAAACCAGAAAACAGGAAGCCATCAGTGATACCTCCCTCTTATGCCTACCACCAATCCAACATCATGTCTCGTCTATTCGTTTTCCTTCAAAATGGCCTAAATCCACTCACCCCTTTCAATCATCACTGGTCGCACCCCCACTTCTTCTCTTTCAAGAGCCTCCTCGCAGGGCTTGGTGGCTCACGCCTGTAATCCCAGCACTTTGGGAGGCCAAGGCGGGTGGATCACGAGGTCAAGAGATCGAGACCATCCTGGTCAACATGGTGAAACCCCGTCTCTACTAAAAATACAAAAAATCAGCTGGGCATGGTGGCATGTGCCTATAATCCCAGCTACCCAGGAGGCTGATGCAGGAGAATTGCCTGAACCCAGGAGGCGGAGGCTGCGGTGAGCCAAGATCGCGCCATTGCACTCCAGCCTGGGTAACGAGAGCGAAACTCCGTCTCAAAAAAAAAAAAAGAGCCTCCTCACTTGCTCTCCTCCGGTTTATTCTCCATGCTGCAGCCAGGCAGCTCTTTTTGAAACGCAAACGATTATGAACTTCCACAATTCCCCATGCATTTAGAATAAAGACTATACTCTTTATCAAGATTTCTAAGGCTCTGCGCAAGCTACCCCCAGTCCCTCGCCACAATCCGACGTGCATTCCCCAAACGTGCCCTTCCAGGAGTCAATTTCTCTCTTGTCTTAGATCCAGCCCATAGGCATTCTCTGTGTCTGGAGCTCTCTTCTACCCACTCTGCACTGCAGGCTCCTTTTTCTCTGTGAGGTCTGAGCCTAAACATCACCTCCACAGGGAATCCTTCATTAAGCATCCTCTGAAATAGGTTCCATCGCACACAGCTTCTTTCTGTTATTCACAACCACAGCACCACGGTCATTTCTTTCTTTGCATACATCCCAGTTGGTCACCACACGCTTACTGGTTGGTGGAGGTTTCCCTCTATTTGTTGTAGTTTTTTTGAGTGCAGAGGTCTTATTCCTTTTGTTCATCCAGAGTCATTCCCAGTGCTGACCATAATACAGACTAGATAAATACAGTAAATTCAGTAACTCCCCCTTACCCATGCAGCACGCATTCCAAGACCCCCAGTGGGTGCCTAAAATCGCACATAGTACCAAACCCTTTTTTTTCTCTCTCTCTCTCTTTGTAAGTAGTATATTTTATATAGCTTTCAAGATACATATATTTTTTCCTTTAAAAAACTCTGTTAGAGAGGTTTTTTTTTTTTAAGAAAAAAAAGAATAAAGAAGAAAGAGAGAAAGAAAGAAAGAAAGAAAAAAAAGAATAAAAAAAAAAAGAATGAAGGAGAGGAAGAAAGGAAGAGGAAGAGGGAGAGAGAACGGGGGTGTTGCTTTATTGCCCAGGCTAGAATGCAGTCTAAAAATGGGTATGAGATATGAAAAAAAAAAATGAGGGAAGAAAATAACCAACAAGCAGCCAACCAATATTTCATTTAAACCTGTAAATAGGTGTGATGTGGTACTGATAAGAGGGTATATTTTGTGTATTTAAAGTGGAGAGTTCTATAAATGTTAATTAAGTTTACTTGTTCCGGATCTGAGTTCAAATCCTGGATATCAATGTTAATTTTCTGTCTCATTGATCTGTCTAATATTGATGTTGAAGTCTCCCAATATTATTGTGTGGGAGTCTAAGTCTCTTTATAAGTCTTATATATCTGGGTATTCCTATATTGGGTGCGTATATATTTAGGATCTTTAGCTCTTCTCGTTGCATTGATCCTTTTATCATTATGTAATATCCTTCTTTGCTTCTTTTGATCTTTGTTGCTTTAAAGTCTATTTTACCAGAGGCAAAAATTGCAACTACTGCTTTTTATTTATTTATTTATTTTTGCTCTCCATTTGGTTGGTAAATCTTTCTCCATCCCTTTGTTTTGAGTCTTTGTGTATCCTTGCATGTGAGATGGGTCTGGATGCAGCAT